ACTTTTAATTATTTTGAAACTTTTAATTTATTGCTTTTTATTTAAGCTATTAACAATCATTTTAATTACAAATATTCGTAATGGTTGAAGCTAGATTTCCTGTATATATGAATCATTCAATCGACAATATGCACTTCTAATTATTTTGAAACTATTAATTTATTTGCTTTTTATTTAAACTATTAACAATCATTTTAATTACAAATATTCATACATATATAAGGATTAATCTGAACTCCAATTTTGGATACGAAATTCTTAGATTAATTACAGAAATATCTTGAGTTATTTCAATTATCAAACCATAATACAAACCTTTTACACTAAATGGAAAAACCACCATCTTCGATATCAACTGCTACCCGAGTCAATAGATTCAAAACAAGTTCTTCTCCTATAAAGTGTCCTAATCAAGTGTAAAAATGATTTTCAATTTAATTTATAGAGTAATTATCTCTGCAGTTCTTTAGAAATGTGAGAACTGTATTCAATAAAACCGTGCTTCCTGTAATTCAAATAGAAATGTAGCCCTCCTCCAAAGATATAGTCCCGTCTTTTAATTAACACGTTTTCCTGAATAAACCATTTTAAGAAGATGGAAACACTGTTTAATATTTCAATCTTACTGCGTGGGTAGATAATCAGGAGAGAATGGTTTAAGTCAATTAACATCACATCCCTGAACGTGTTGGGACATGTTGAAACGAATCTTTAGTTTGCATAGAGAAGCAGATAGAGAAGTTTGCTCCTTGTTTGGATACCTGTTTCGTTTAAATAAGTCTCTGATGGTGTGAGTATTTAAATATCACACCGTAGTTTTCATTGTAATATCTTAGGACATTTCAAATATTTAGGGACGATTTAAAGAAAAAAAAAATTCTTCTTCAACTTTTTTCTACTCAGCTAACTTCTAACAATTTTTGGCTGAAGTAAATTTTTACCAAAATTTTAAAAGTAACAGTAACTTGAAAATTAAATATTTCCTCATGGCGCTAATTTAAATACTTGAAGTGAACACTTGTTTGCTTGTATTTCAAGCTGTAAGGGGTAATTACTTCTAGGTGAATTTGGAACTGTTTTACTTTTACGGCAGTATTCATTAAATTCAAAATATGGTGATTAATAAAGGAATTATTTCTTTAATATTAAAACCTGATTCTCCCTTTATTGATTAAACTTTTTTATCCTGTTTTTAAACAACTTTTCTTGCCTAAAACTAAAATGTATATAACATTGTTAATTTTTTCAAAATTTTTATTCATATTTAATACGCGGATATAAGCAATTCAATCACTTACTAAATACACCTACACTGTATCACTTTCGGATCAAGTTACGATAAAAGTACCGGCACTCATTGTGACGGTACTTTTTAGCGGAACATATTACAGAATAAGCAAGGAAATCTCATATAACGTGATTTTTGCAGTAATGATAATCATAGAATCTCTCTAATGAATAAATATTACTGTAAAAATTACAGTATAATATTTTTCAGTAAAAATGGATTTTACGGATGATGCACCCAGTACTTTATACCGTAACTTGAACTGGGTTTACAATGTTCAAAATCTTTTAAGGACCTTTGAATACATTTTTGATAAAAATTGCATTTGAAACCTTTATTTTATTGTTTTTTAATTAAATATTTGTAAAGATTAAAACTAAAATAGCTGTAGTTAAGCCATCTCAATAATAATTAATTTCATCTTCTAATTTTTTTTTCTGGATTAAAGTTTGATAACTATAAAATAGAGGAAATTTTGCCTAATCTGTAGAATTGATATTAATAAACCGTGAAGACTTTTTTTTTATTTGGCTATACATATTATGATGCAGACTAATTTATTTTTTTCCATCTTGCTTTTGAGTGCAGTGGTTATGAAAGCCAATGGGTAGAAAATACTTTTTTTGGCAGTGAAAGAACGCCTTGCAACTACTTATTACTTCTTAAATTACTATTAAATTATTTAGACAATACTTTTAAAATAATTCTTTGGGATCGGGGTAATTGGAGAATATAGAACTTTCAATTATGCACAAACAACACAAGTTCGAATCTCTAATCATTTAGCTCATATGCTGATTTCCACCTTCCTGTCTGAATTATAGGTTTAATTATAATATTCCTAGGGAGTAAGAACAATGTATTAGATGCGCATTAAAATCTAAAGTCTATCTGGAGGTATTTCGTAAATTTAATTTCCAAGGTCTGAATGTGTTAAACTTTTTTCCATCTGACATCATTAAAAGGGATTTATCCAATGTTTGTTTCTAGAAATCCTTTTTTTTTTCCAAAACAAAATTACAGGGTGATTAGTTTGAATGTTAAGAGCAATAACACCTCAACATCATTGTGTATCGATACAATATTTAATAACATAATGGATATTTAATATATTAATCCAGTATTGAACATCTTTATTTAAACTATTTATGAAACATTAGGAAAAAAAAGGTTTAAAAAGTTAAAAAATAGAATAAATTATAGGTTATGCTTTCGATTTTATGCATACAAGTCTGTAACCATCTATAATATTATTTACCTATTAAAATTCAAAATCCTTCTTTAGTATTGTAAATTGAGTTTAAATTTAAACATGATTAGGTTTATTTACATTGGTTGCATAAATAGGCGTATGTTTCATCAAATGTGATATTTGAATATTGCTTATTAAATTTAGAACACAGAATTAATCTGATTAAATTTACTTCATACATTTAATTAATCGCATTATCAATAAGTTTTGTTTACTCAGCCAAATTAAACTCAAGCTGTTTAAGTTTAGATTACAATATAAATTTATATGTATTGTTTATTTTTCAAGTTGTTCTTGTTGTTTTAATTCAACTAGAATCGTGCGAGTTTAAGTTCTATGAGGTGCTCCATATTTATTTCTTCTGTTTAAAGAAATCGCAGTTCCAGAAAATTCGACATTCTTTGGAGATGAACGCACTCAATAAGTGAATCAAAGTTTACGGAAGGATTTTTCGACGAAATCTCTTTAAAGTGGTTGCCATAGTAATTTAATCTCGTTCAGCAAATAATAGCCTTCCAGTTTACAGTTTCATGAATTAATTTTAACCTACACTTTAAAAGAGCAGTTCAGTTTTGATCTTATTTGAGCGTAAATCTCCTTCTAAATTCTTAAATTAAAAATTAAATTATAAAATAGTCAAAGAGTAAAGCTTTGCAAAATTAGATATTTGTTTTTCTTTAAAATAAATTTGATAAAGAGACTTGCTTATCATGGAGATGTATGTGTTGTCTGTTTGTTTAAATAAATTTAAATCTACATAATATATTTTTCATCTAATATAGAGATTTATTTTTAATATATGGCTTTTTATTGCATCCATATTATATATATATAAATATATATAGTATACAGGTTTCAGATATTCACAATATTTTGCCGTGAGTACAAAATTGCTGCATCTTTACAGTATAATGCTAAGAAAAACGATTTTGTCAATTGAAATATCTTATCTTATATTAGATTACGAAATAATGGCTCACAAAAAAGGATATAAAGTGCCCGCCTCCCAATGAGGTGCCCGGGTTCGAATCCTAGCTTAGGTTGCTTGATACAAATCTTGTACCAGGCTCACAACGACCACTGTCATGACGTAAAATAATCTCAGTGGTAGATGAATCGTGGGATAGAGTCCCCTTACCTTCAGGTTAACTGCAGGGGATTTTCGTGGTTTTCGTCTTCATGTAAGGCAAATTCGGGTTAGTTCCATCAAAAAGTCCTTAATGAAAGCAATTTTCTCCCGATACTTGATCAAGGAGCTCCCTTGTCTTCTGGATTGTGTTCAAAGTTAGAAAACTAAGGAGTTGAACATAGATTGAGGAGTCGTAAACTCAAAAGTGTTTCTGTTGTTCAATGACAGTGATAAAATAATGTGCCTCAATCTAATACCCTATGAAGTTTGAAACATATTTCCATTTGGGGACATTTTGAAAACTTTTCGATCTGGGCAACTTCTTTATTTCGCTTAAATAGATCTCCAATGCGCAATCTCTAACAAACGCCGATAACGCAAATGCGGGTTAGATAATAAATCATGAGCTGGTTGAATCAAGATGCCCAGTACAGGGGAATCCAGTTAAATAAAAGGAAAACGCTAATCAAGTGAAAAATTGTTAGAAAGTTCCTATAAGTTTCATTATTACTGTACGGAGTTTGAATTAATTTCTTTTACAGCTCTTCTTAAAAGAGCTTCTTAGCTTCACACTCAAGTACTCCAAATTAATATCTTGACTTTTAGTATTCAGGTTCATAACCTGTTTCTGACTTGGATAAGTTTTCTTAAAAGTATTTAAAGAAAACGTTCTTTTTTCTTTTACTTAATTTCAATGGCAAGCCAATGTACTAGAGAGCAAAATGCAATATAAAAAAAGTAACAATGGGAGCAAAATTGACCGAAATCCTTGCCAAAGGAGTTCTTTAGCACGCTTATATCGATTAACCTTCGAGTTGTAGTTCAGAAGTGTTCTACAGCGAGACAGATAGTGCTTGTTCAGAGTCTTGGTGTGCACTTAGTTAATTGGCATCCTAGTACAGGAAGCCAATGTACTAGGGAGAAAAATGCAATATAGAAAAGTAACAATGGGAGCAAAATTGACCGAAATCCTTGCCAAAGGAGTTCTTTAACACGCTAATATCGATTAACCTTCGAGTTGTAGTTCAGAAGTGTTCTACAGCGAGACAGATAGTGCTTGCTCAGAGTCTTGGTGTGCACTTAGTGGTAAAAATTAGTTGAATCTTTAACCCCCAAACCACCATGGTTCAAAGTCAGTTTTCTCTTCACATCTAATCTTCAATCACATCTAATGCTATTGTAGCTTATCCTACCCGAAGGAAAATTCCGATATCTCCTTGAATTAAAAGCTACAATAACTCTGTTAAATTTTTATGAACTTCATAAATATTGTGTCATAAATTCATTTCATTCTTAGATTGATTGAAAGAAGTACTTAGGCATATACTTACGAATATCGAATTCTCTGTGGTAAAGATCTTCCACTGTCGGCCTATGCCGGTCACAGTAGGTGCCAAACAGGAACCTCTTTAATATTGCACTCTTCCCTACAGCGGAGCCACCCAGGCTCACCAGCCGGTAGTGGCAATCGCTGTCGCTATCCCCCATCGAAGGCCTGCGTTCACCCAGCTTGGCTATATTTGTGTTTACCTGAAATGAAAGTGAAAGTCAGTTATAAATGTCAAGAAATATGCATATTTTTAAAAGTAATAGCATGAAAGAAAATGCAGTTTAAGAATGCTTAGTCAAATGTACTCTTCAAATTGTTACTGTCTTATTCTTTATTGATAACATTATTAATGCAATTTGACTTCCCTGTAAAAAATTCTGGATCAAACTACATTAAAAAGTACCGGCCGCCTAAGATGCCGGTACTTTTTACGTTAAATCTATTTTTACCGGAATATGTAACGGAACAAAAAATTTGATTTACTGTAATTTTTACAGTAATAATTTGGGTAAAATCACTTAATTACTCGACTTAAATACTGTAAAAATTACGGTGTAATAATTGATGGTAAAATTGATTTTATGGATGATGTATCGAAATTGACGGTACTTTATACCATAATTTGATCCGGAATTTTTTAAGGCATTGAACCTAGCTTATCTTGATACAGGATGGACAGATTTTGAACGATATACACTGGTGGACAAAATTAAGAGATGGAAGACATTTTCCCAAATATCTCAAAAAATACTGAATATAAATAAATGAAATTTGGTATGGATATAGCTTATTACGTGATAATAAAGTATGCGAAACAAAATTGACAGTGCCATTCACTGGCAAGACCTATTGCCAATAAATCCCATGTAGTCTGAATGAATGAATAAAAGATGACAATAAAAGTGAGGCTTGTACAGTGTGTGTTGCCTCTAGTATGATGTATGGTCACCCCTGACAGACAGACAGCATGCGCAACGAGTATGCATGCTGTTAATAAGGAAGTTAAGGAGGACTTGTGGAAGACACTCCCATTCTTCCACCAGAGCAATTTTTAACTCCAGAATGGTTCTGGGGGAAGGTTGGCTCATCGCAATAGCTCTCCTAAGAGCATCCCAAGCATGTTCAATAGGATTCAGGTCAGGGGATTTGGCTGGCCAATCCATTCGTTGAATATCCTCGCTTTCCAGTAACTCATTAGCCATGAGAGCCCTATGTGGTCACGCATTGTCGTCCATAAAAATGAACTCAGGGCCAACAGCTCCCCTGAAAAGAAGCACATAGGGCTCTAGGACCTCCTACCTGTACCTCTGGGCATTCACGGAACCATTGTCAAGCACATGGAGTGGTGTGCGGGTATCTTGCATGTGCGAATGAATGTGCCAAAATGCTTCCCATCTCTTAATTTTGTCCACCAGTGTAATTATCTGTCAAATTATCTGTCATGTAGTGTTAATTACACCCATTTCTTAAAGTCTATAAACTAGACTTAAATAAAAATGTCTTCTATTAAAATCCTTCCCATAACGATTTTAAATGGACATAATGACAGAGAGAAATAAAACTGGGCATTTATTATTGTTGATCTAAGCATATATAATCATTTTGTAACTCGCTTATAGCAATAATATATTAAATAAATTCCATATAATTTCTAATTCACTTATACACTCAACAGTCAAACACTTTTTCTAAAAAGAGCTTCCCTCTAAGAGCTCTAGAAATGTAATAATACTTTGCTTCCTAACATCTACTCTTTTTAGCAACAACTTTTCTCAAACAACATAGAATTTGCATAGATTTTTTCACGTAAAATTACTGTTACTGATTGCAGTTACTGATGTGCTGTCTGACTGAAATTCCCCTCTGAAACACCTTGTCCTGGAGGGAGGGGGTTAAATGATTTTTCTAAACATTTTTTTTAAAATTATTTAAACTAAATGTGTTATAGAATATGGTCGATTCTGACACCATTGCAGATTGATGATCTGGCTATTAACACCAATAATTTATTTATGATGACAAAAAGATGTGTTGTAGCCTAATATGTTGTAACCTAAAGACAAATAATTTACAAAAATTGCATTAAAACTAAATAAAATAGTCGTTCCTCTAATAAGGACGAGGTGATAAAGACTAGCGATCAAAACTATTAATCACAATTCAATTAAGAAACCTAACACAAAAGAAACAATTCAAAATAGCACTAAAACTAATTTCGCTTAAAAGTTAATGAGTTTTTCTTGAAACCAACATGGTGGACTGAGTTCGCTTGAAAGAGTTAAATATGAATCCCTCATGGTTCACTCATTAGCAGGATTGCCTGGAAGCTTGATAAATGATTGATGACGAAAAGAAAATAATTTAGTGCCTTTTATATTTACTCGTCTAATTAAAGCGGTGATTAAATAGAATTAGCTCACCATAATTGCACATTATCAATCATTTTTATCTTAACAACTTAAAATTGGTGTAGTAAATACGACGATTAAAATAGACAATATGGTTTTAAAAATATATTTTAAGAGATAATACGGTATAATAGACGTGTCATATCATACATATCATTAAATTTTTCCTATTGCTCATATTAATCATGCCTAACTAAAATGAGTTTAATACTTGGATATTAACTAACAAAAACTATACAAAGAGTCTACTTAAGCCCATATTAACTCTCTTCTCCTGTGTACTTACTTAAAAAAGTGATATCTGGTTATGGTAAAAGATAATTATATTTTCGTTGTCTTCACGTTCTAGGGCTTAATCTTAATGGCTAGCGGGGTTGACCTCAAATATGCTAATTAATAAGTGCAGGCGATATTTTAAGTTACGAAATCAGGCATAAAAGCGCACTTTCTCTAAATAAACATATTTTTTTCTCAACGGGTTCGGATTTCTGACCTCCGAAATATAGGGGGTAGCCGCAATCTGGAAAATATGGTCCCCATAGTTTGTTTCAAAGTTTGGACCTCTTAATGTTAATTTTATTTTTTACGTATTCGCCATATTTCAAGAACTTCTTAAGTGAGTTGAAACCTTCTTGCACACATTCTTGAAATTTGTTTATCCAAAGATAATTCCAGAAAATATTTATCATTTTTTTATTATTCTATTTAATAATGGACTGAAAAATTTTGAATTGTAAGGCACACAATTTTTTGCATTATTTTAAAGAATAAAATGTTACAAGGCAAAATACAAAATTTCAGTAAAATCAGTCAAATAGTTCCACAGAAATCGAATTTTAAGTATCTGAAATTTTTTAAATTCAATTTCTTACGCAACCAAATTTGCTCACATTTTATATTTTGCCATGTAAAACAGCATTCTTTAAAATGATGCAAAAAATTTTATACCTTATAATTCAAAATTTTTTAGACCATTATTAAAAATAAGAAAAAATATTTTTTTAAAAATTTAATTACTTTTTGCATGTATTTATAATTGGATAAAATGACTTTATAATTGCGTGCAAATTTTTTTCAATTTGGTTAAAAAGTTTTTTGAGATATAACGAAATGCGCAAAAAGTAAGATTAACGTTAAGGGGTCGAAATTTTGGAGAACTCTCCCGACCAAATTATTGGGACCATATATCCCAGTTTGCAGCTACCGTCTATATTTTGGGGGTCAGAAATTCAAATCCATTGACAAAAAGGCATGTTTATTCGGAGAAACTACGTTTTTGTATCTGATTTCGTAGCTTAAAATATCGTCTACACAACTTAATTAACATATTTGAGGTCTTCCCCTCAAACTATTAAAATGGTGTCCTAGAACGTAAAGATCCGATTATTAAATTAAAAGTTATTCAGGGTTGTCCTTTTTTTTGCACACTAGACAAAACTGAAAAGAGATTAGGACATCAAAGATAAAAAGAATCTTGTGAGAAGTATTTTTTTATTAGCCCACGCGGCATATTGTTAACTCATCTCTCGTAGTTTTACCATTCATTAGTATTTATAATTTACTTCGATTAAGTTTAAGAATTAATGACATCATTAAAATAACGCGGGAAAGTTTTTTTTAAATAATTTTTTATTGCGCATCGTATATTGAGAAAAAATATGGTAATAACTACCAGAATATGGTAAATTTTACCGTGTCTGTGGTAATTTTAACAAAAGCGTTTTTGTGATGATTTTGGCAAAATCAACAATAAAATACGGTTTTATAATTTGTGACGAAATTTGGCTATTTTATTATGATAACTAAGAGCATGCCATAAAAACCATGCAATTCATCTATTTATTCGGTTAAATTTCCTTTTCAATTAAGTACTTTTTTTTCTAAATGTGTGGTTAAAAGAAACCAGAATTTCTGGTAAACTACTACCGTATGAACTGAAAAACTACCAAAACAATGGTTTTAATACCGTATTTTTTGGTTTTATTAATCAGAATTATCTTATTTTATTTTTGTACGAAATGTTTTTACCATACAGTATCATAATTTCATAAGAATCTTTTCCTTCGTTAAAACAGAATACTTTTGTACCAAAATATCATATTATGCAGTTTCTTGTCTTTTTAGTTGGATTCATTGTTAGTAAGTTATGCAAGAGGGCCCTAAAAGGCTCTTAACATTTTTCTCTTTAGTTCTTTTCATTGAATATTAAGAAACCGAAAACCTTTTCTACAATGTAAAAGATAAATTTCTTCTTGATTCTAACAATTAAAGGTTTTGTTAAAAAAAAAAACACGTTTCTCACACTTTTACAGTACAGTTAATACTATATTTTGAAAAATAAATTTTGCTTCATTTACCACAAATTATAAAGATAAAATAACATTTTATTTGGTAACAGTATGGAAGTATAGTACAAAATTTTTATTGTTTTGTTATCAATGTTATAAACACAATAAAAAACTAGTCAGTTTTGCTTTTTCGTATCAATAAAATATTTAATTCCGTCTAATAATTTAAACTTTATAGTGTTTAAGATAAATAAATCAATATTGGCAAACAAAAATCATTCGAATTTGCTTTAAATTACTTTCTACACACCCCGCCAAGAAATCTTATTTTATTAGTAACCAATTTATGTCCCCCAGAATTGAATTTCAGCAGTAAAAAATTTTTACTCCGACTTTCTTTCCTTTTTTTCCCTTTTCTCTCATTTCATATATTTATATTTTCCCTTTCCGTTTCGTTATTCCACCCAAGTTAACCAGTACAATAAAATCTTTATTGATAAGTCA